TACTACATAGTCATTTCACTCCTTGAAATTTTAGGAGGATTATTAGATAACCAGAAATATTATAGATTGGGAGAAAAATTAATGACCAACATTTCATTCTAAACTGATTTGACCATCTTAACTGCTCCACAAGGCCTATGACTTTTGCTACAATGAAAACTCATTTGTCCCAAAAGCAAAACAAATATTTACTTTGAAAATCACTTTCTGAATCTAAAGAGTAAAATTCTGAAATTTGTATATATTGTAACAAATGTTTTATTTAGAAAATGCTTTTACTCTGCTATACTATCCATATTTATGTGCTTGAATATTTAGTTTATCTTAAAATAAAATATTTTAATTGCTTTATAATATTTGTATTACCTAAACTAAATCTACCAGAATTTACTATTATAAGTTCTATAAAAAAAAAAATAACAATAGGGCCACTGTCCTTTACAAATTTTCAATATGTTTAAAGATTAAGAGTTGTTGATTAATACCACAATGAGATAGAATTACACACTCACCAGATATGCAAAATAAGTCTGACAATACACGTGTTGATAAGAATGTGAGCAATGAAACTCGCATACACTGTGGATGGACAGGAACGCTCATTCACTGAAGTTGAAAGTGTAAATGAATACAACAAGTTAGGAAATGAGTTTGTGAGGCCAAAGCTATACATAGCCCACCACCCCACTATTCCTCTCCTATGTGTACACACTTGTATATGAGAGGACACATGACATTCATAGCAGCATTGTTACATAATATCTCCCAACTGAAAACAGCCCAATTTTCAATCAGTAGTGAAATGGATAAAAGAAAAATGTGTATTTATACGATGGAACACTGTACAGTAATAAAATGACAAACTATGGTCACTTGTAGATGAATCTCACAAACATACAAGAAGCAAACCAAGAAAAACGAGGTGGAGAAGAAGGGAAAAAAAGGAATGCATTAAGTATGGTTCCATTTATCTAATGTTCAAAAATAAGCTATCCTGTTTAGGAGGGGCAGACAAAGACTTCTGGGGTGTTGTCTATGTTCTTGACCTGGGTGGTGGTTATGCAGACCTTTGCTTTAAAATTCTTCTTAAAACCAGGGATCAGCAAACTATGACATATGAGCCTAATCTACATCACTACCCGTTTTTACAAATAAAGTTACCGGAATACACACACAAGCACACAGAGTTGCTCATAAGAAATGAAGGAAAATAAAGATAAGAGCATATGCTTGTACAGGATATCATAGTTTAAAGAACCCAGTGAGGTCAGTATTTTTTAAATCCTTCCTCTTATTTTCTATAGATGAGTATATGAAAGTCACAGATTAAATAACTTGTCAAGATCACATAGATAGCCAGAAGCAGCACCACAACTTGAATGCACACTATCTGGATTCTATTTTGCTCTTGAATATATACAAGATACCCTTTGTACAAGTTTCCAAAAGAGAGCATTTTATTTAGGGCAAATTGTTTAGCACAGGATATATTGTAGTTCAGAGTAAACTAAAATTTATGGGACATCTACTAAATAAACAATGCACTGTCTATAAATTCTAAATGACTTCAGTATGTCATGAACTTCACTAGCTCATTTAATCAGAGACATTGGTGAAGTCTTAATTAAGAAAATGCAACTTGAAATGGGTCTGGAAGGGTTTCACAATTGGTGTGGGGAGTTTTACATTTCATTTAGATTCAGATGAAGAGACAAGCAGAATTGAACAAAGGAAAAGCAACACTGTGTCCCTGGATAGGAAGACTCAATTTAGTGAAGATGAAAATTCTCCCTAGATTCGTTTATACATTTAATATAATTGAAATAAAAATCCCAATGAGATTTCTTTTGGAATTTAACATGTGATTTTGAAATGCATTTGGAAAAACAAACAGTTCATATTAGCCAGGTAAATATTAGAAAGAATAGTACTAAGGGTGCAGTTACTTTACAAGAGATACAATAAATTAAAGTAGTATGGATATGGCAAGGAGCAGACAGATAGAGAAATTGAACGGAATAGAAAAGACCCACGTCTCTATTATAAATTCATATATAATAAAATTGACATTTCAGATCAGTAGGATGAGGATCAATTATTCAATAAATAGTTATGGGAAAAAAACTAGCTGGCCATTGAAAAAATACATACAGTGAACCTCTCTAATTTATAAATTCTAGATGAATTAAAAATGTATATGTTAGGGGTCAGCCTGGTGATGTAGTGGTTAAGTTAGCACATTCTGCTTCAGCAGCCTGGGGTTCGCAGATTTGGATATCAGGCATGGACCTAGCACCACTTGTTGGAGCACGCTGTGGTGGTATCCCACATAAAATAGAGGAAGATTGGCACAGATGCTATCTCAGAGCCAATGTTCCTCAATCAAAAAAAAGAGGAAGAATGGCAACAGGTGTTTTAGCTCAGGGCCAATCTTCCTCACCAAAAAAAAAAATATATATATATATATATATATATATGTTAAAAATTAAACTGTCAAATAAATATAAGGAAATATAAGGAGATATATATCTATATCTATATCTATATCTGTCTATCTATCTATATACATACACATCTTGGAATGGGAAAGGCAATTCTAAGCATAGCATTAAAGGCAGAATCCATAAAGGAAATGCAATAGTTATGGTTATATTATTTTAAAATGTTTCTATGTGAAATAATTATAAACAAAAATAAAAGGAAATTACAAACCAGGAAAAGAAAATTGCAACATATATGACAAAGTTTAATAACCTAAATATATAAACAACTCCTAAAAGTCAGTAAAATGAAAATATAAAAAATAAATGAAAAGGCGATGCAAAAAAGAAGTGATACATGAAATAACAAGAGCCAATGTCTATTTAATCCTTATGATATGCCAAATATTGTGCTCAGAACTTTACAAGAATTTTCTTATTTGGTCCTTACAACAATCCTATGAAGAATATATTATAATTACCTACATTTGACATATGAGTAAACTGAGCCTCAGAAAGGTTAATTCACTTGCCTGGATCATAAAGCGTTGGTACTTTAGCCCAGTTCTCCCTTATTCCTGAGCTGTAGCTTTTAATCACTATAGTATATTGCATTTCCAATTGAAGAATAAAATTATGTTCAGCTGCACTAGAAATCAGATAAATGTAAACACCTAGTACCACCACTCACCTACCAAGTAGGCATTTTAAAGAAAAATTAAAATATACAAATATAGCCCTGGATGGGGGGAAATGGACACTCTTGTAAACTGTGTGTTGGAAGATAAACTGGTACAACTTTTCTCCAGGGTGGTTTGATAATAGATTGTAAGTAATAACAGTGTAGGAAACTGCAGCAGCTCAGGGTGACCCAGAATAAGCAAAGAAATGTGAAAATAAATTAAAAAAGAAACCCACGGCCCTTGTGCATGCTTGAGATATTGTTGTGTGAGAGGTTTAAAGGTAGAAGAATACATTTCCTTCTCCGTGGTCTCAAAATGGGAGGTGAGAAGCTGTGTAAATGCGGTAAATTGTCACCTTTCACCGTGGAGAGTCAAAATAGGGCGTCCAAAACTGATATACTGAGAAATAGATATTAAAATATATTATTTAAATTTACAATTGTTACAATTTGTAAAAGTAAAACACAGAAACTGTTTAAAAGTGTTTACCTCTGGGGAGTCGGCAAGTGTGAAGACTTTTACTTTTAGATTATTAATATGATTTGAGTTCTGCTTAATTTTTAATAATGTACAGGTACTATTTTAACTGTAAAAATCTACCTTAAAACAAAAAGAAAGGCAGCCACATTAATAGAAGATTAGATATATAAATTTAGTATACCTATACAATGGAATACTATGATGTCATTGGAAAGAATGAAATAAGAGCCTATGTAATTACATGAAAAAATAACAATAATGAAAAATAGCTAAATCATTTATCAAGCACTTACTTACTAAAACATTTATTGAGCACTTATTGAGTGACTTTTCAGTCACTGTTATAAGCTCTCCATGTGTATTCTAATTTAGTAATCTCTCAACTGCTCTATAAGAAATGTCAGACAGAGAGAGGCTAAGTAAATTGTTCAAGGTCACACAGGTAGCAAATGGCAGAGCCTGGATTAAAACAGTGCGTTTCCATAGCCTATACTTTAAGTACTACACTCTACTGTTTAAATGGGAAGTGAAGAAGTAATTGCAAAACGTGTTTTTAAAAGCCATGTATGTATGTGTGTGTGTGCAAGCACACAGGTGTGGTGTGTAGAGGCTTTGTGGCATGTGTAGAGTATGTATGGAGTGTGCATGGTTTGTGAAGTGATCTGTGTTTGTGTGTACGTATACGTGTGTGTGCGTGCATGCATGTGTACAGAAGGCATAAGCAAATAGAATTTGGAAGGGTATACACCAAAGTGTTGTAAATGACATGAGGGAAAATATTTCTCTATTACATTCTACATTTTTGTGGTATTCTATTTTTCCCTCTGACTTTATATAATTTTGTGATGAAAGAATTAATTGTATCTTTAAAGATGCCCCAACGCTTAAACCAAATAGTTTCATTTCTACGAAGTGATTTTAAGGGGAAAAATCAAATATATGGGGAAAGGTGCATATACAAAAATTAATCACACTCTCCATTTCTTAAGTGCAGGCTGTGCAGAGTGGCTTCCTTCCAAAGACTATAATATGGAAAGATGGGAAAGATGAGCAATTTTAGGGAGATATCATCATGGTGGTATGAGAGGATCCTTTTGTCTCTCCCCTTCAATCTACAGTGAATAAAACATCCATAACCCAACAAAGGCTACAGTGTACAACACACATTGGTACATACAAAGGTAGGTGAATTGAAGCACATAGAGGAGGTTAAATGGGGGAATAGCAGAGGCAGAGCCAAGAATCCTGGATCCCCAGCCACCATGACTGAGCCAGCTGCCCTCAACCCCAAAGAACTTGGTGGGCAGCAGTAGAGGCACATGTATGACTCCAGCCAGCCAGCTGAGGTGTCACTTACAGCAGCACCTGTGGTCACAAGAAGCAGAGCAGCAGCAGAGGCAGAGCCCTGTGATCCTGGGAACCCTGGCCTTGGCTCAGAGCTTGGTAGCAGCAGCGGAGGTACTCACAAACTCCAACATCCTGATCGCAGCAGCACCTATGATCACAAGGTAATGGGCAGCAGATGAGACAGTGCCCCACATACCAGGCTCCTTCCCCACAGTCCCACTTCCTCCAACCACAGTAGTGGAGATTCTGACCCAGGTGATCCTGGATGTGGCTGAGATATCAGTCATACCTGTGCCCACAGTGGCAAAGCCAGTGACCACAGCAACTCCAGCAATAGTAAGGCATCAGTGACCCCCAGAAGCTTAAGCAACAACAACAAGTGTACTGGCAACACCCCAAATAGAGGCAGTGGAGGGTGGAGTATGCAGATTCTCAAACATAGCCAGAGGCAGCTCAGGTAAGAGACAGCCAAAAACTAGTGCTATAACACCACCTACTGAAAAACAAAAGAAGGGCCTCTAATCTAACAACCAGTTAAAAAGTTTGAATCAAAACGAAGCTATACCTAAATAAAAAATATTTGCTACAACAAATGCACCAGCAAAAAATTAACTCAGGAATCACCACAAAAAAGCATAGTACCATGGCACTACAAAAAGAAAACAATTTTATCCAGAAACCAATGATAAAATCATGGAAGATTGTGATCTATCTGATAAAGAATCCAAAATAGCTGTTATGAAAAAACTTAAGGAGCTATAAGAGAACACAGAAAGCTGGTTCAATGAGCTCAGGAATAAAATCAATGAACAGAAGGAATACTTCATCAAAGAGATTAAAACTCTAAAAAAGAATGAAACAGAAATTCTGTAGCTGAAGAACTCAAAAAACGAGATGAAGAATGCATTAGAAAGCATTGGAAATAGAGCGGAACACATGGAAGAGAGAATTAGCTGGCTCAAAGATAGAAAACTAGAAATAATGTAGACAAAAGAGGAGAGAAAACTAAGACTTAACAAAAAAGTAGAAATTCTACAAGAATTATCCAACTTCATTTGAAAGGACAGCATAAGGGTGATGGATATCCCAGAAGGAGAAAAGAGAGAGAAGGGAGCAGAGAGCATACTTAAAGAAACAATAGATGAGAACTTCCCAAATCTGGAGAAGGAACTGGATATACAAATCCATGAAGATAATAGAAAACCCAATTATCTCACTGTAAAAAGACCTTCTCCAAAACTTGTGATAATAAAACTGAAAAATAAGTGAAAAAGAAAGAATATTTAAAGAAGCCAGGCAGAAAAAAACAGCCTACAAAAAAATCTCCATTAGACTATGAGCAGCTTCTCAGTTGAAATTCTGTAGGCCAGCACAGACTGGAAAGATATATTCAAAATATTGAAAGATAAAAACTGTCAAGCAAGAATATTCTATCCAGAAAGGTTATCTTTCAGATATGATGGAGAAATAAAAGCTTTCCCAGAGAAAAAAAAGCTGAGGGAGTTCATTGCCACTAGGCCTGCCTTACAAGAAATGTTGAAAGGAGCCCTCCTACCTGAAACAAAAAGGCAAAGGTATGCAAAGCTTTGAACAATGTGATAAATAGACAGAATCAGAAAATGACAACTCTATATCAGAAATGGGATAGTATATACTTAATTTTAACATAAAAGTTAAAGGGAAAGGAATCATTAATAATAACTATAACCACATCAATTTGGTTATATATTCACAATGTAAATAGGGATAATTTGTGATAACAAGAACATAGAAGGGGAAGAAGAAAAGGATGGAACCTGAATGGGCAAATGAAGATAAAATGCTATCAGCAGAAAAAGAACTATCATATCTATGAGAAACTTTTATACAAACCACATGGTAGCCACAAAAAAAAAAATTCAGAGCAGAATCACAAAACATAAAAACAGAGGAAACTGGAAAAAACATCACAGAAATCCACCAAACTGAAATCGCAGATGAAAACACAAAAAAAAGAAACATGGAAATATAGAGCAACCAGAAAACAAAAGATAAAATGGCAGTATTAAGACCTCAAGTATCAATAATCACCCTAAATAGAAATGGATTGAATTCACCAATCAAAAGACATAAAGTGGCTGGATGGATTAAAAAATAAGACCCAATAGTGTGCTGTCTCCAGGAGACCCATCTCAGCTCTAAAGACAAACATAGGCTCAAAGTGAAGGGACTGAGGATAATACTCCTAGCAAATGGCAACCAAAAGAAAGGAGGTGTAGTCATACTTATTTCAGACAAAACGGACTTCAAACCAAAAAAGGGAATAAGAGACTAAGATGGACATTATATAATGACAAAGAGGACAATCCATCCAGAAGACATAACATTTATTAACATATATGTACCTAATATAGGAGCACCAAAATATATAAAGCAATTATTAACAGACCTAAAGGGAGAAATTGACAGCAACACAATAGTAGTAAGGGACTTCAATACCCACTTACATCAATGGATAGAGCATCCAGACAGAAAGTCAACAAGGAAACATCAGCCTTAAATGAAACATTACAGAAGATGTACTTAATACATAGAGATGGAACATTCCATCCAAAAGCAGCAGAATACACATTCTTCAGAAGTATACATGGAACATTCTCAAAGATAGACTATATGCTGGGAAACAAAACAAGTGTCAGTAAATTTAAGAAGATTGAAATCATATCAAGCATCTTTTCCAAACACAATGATATGAAACTAGAAATGAACTACAAAAAAAAGCTGGAAAAGTCAGAAATATGTGGAGAATAAACAACATGATACTAAACAACTATTGGATCAATGAAGAAATCAAAGGAGAAATCAAAAAATACCTGGAAACAAATGGAAATGAAAACACAACATATTAAAATCTATGGGATAAAGCAAAAGTAGTACTAATTTTATAGGGGGATTTTATAGCAATACAGGCTTACCTCAAAAAACAATAAAAATCTCAAATAAACAATCTAACATTACATGTAAAGGAACTAGAAAAAGAACAAACAAAGGCAAAAATCAGTAGAAGGAAGGTAATAATAAAAATCAGAGTGGAAACATATGAAATAGGGACTAAAAAGACAATAGAAAAGATCAATGAAACTAAGAGCTAGTTCTCTAAAAAGATTTAAAAAATTGACAAATCTTTATTTGGACTTACAAAGAAAAAAAGAGAGAAGGCTCAAATTAAAAAATCAGAAACAGAAGAGTAGAAATTACGATGGATACCACAGAAATAAAAAAGGTTATAAGAGAATACTATGAAAAGGTATATTCCAACAAATTGGATAACCTAGAAGAAATGGATAAGTTCCTAGAATCATAAAACCCTCCAAAACTGAATCAAGAAGAAATAGAGAATCTACTTAGATGGGTCACTTGTAAGGAGATTGAAACAGTAATCAAAAATCTTCCAAAAAACAAAAGTCCAGGACCAGATGGCTTCTCTGGTGAATTCTACCGAACATTCAAAGGAGATTTAAGACCTATCCTGAAACTAATCCACAAATTGAAGAAAAGGGGATACTTCCTAACTCATTTTACAAGGCCAGCCTTACCCTTATACCAAAATCAGACAAAGATGACACAAAAAAAGAAAATTACAGGCCAATATCGCTGATGAACATAGATGTAAAAATCCTCAAGAAAATGTTAGCAAATCAAATAAAATAATACATTAAAAGGATTATACACCATGATCACCTGGGATTTATTTCAGGGATGTAAGGATAGTTCAACATCTACAAATCAATCAACGATACACCACATTAACAAAATGAAGAATAAAAATCACACGATCATCTCAATAGATACAGAGAAAGCATTTGATAAGATTCAGCACCCATTTATGTTAAAAACTCTCAATAAAATGGGTATAAAAGGAAAATTCATCAACATAATAAAGGGCATAATATGACAAACTCACAACTAACATCATACTCAATGGTGAAAAATTGAAAGCTATGCCCGTAAGATGAGGAATAAGACAATGATGTCCACTCTCGCCAAGCTTATTCAACATAGTATTGGAAGCCCTAGCCAGAGTAATTAGGCAAGAAAAAGAAATAAAAGGGATCCAGATTGGATAGGAAGAAGTAAAACTCTCACTATTTGCAGATGACATGATTTTATATACAGAAACCCTAAAGAATCCACCTAAAAAAGTATTAGAAATAATAAATCAATACAGTAAAGTTGCAGGGTACAAAATTGACATACAGAGATCAGTTGCATTTTATACACTAACAACGAGGCAGCAGAAAGAGAAATCAAGAACACAATCCCATTTACAATTGCAACAAAAAGGATAATATACTTAGGAATAAACTTAACCAAGGAGGCGAAAGACGTGTACCCTGAAAACTATAAGACATTGCTGTAAGAAATGGAGGAAGACACCAAGAAATGGAAAGATGTTCTGTGCTCATGGGTTGGAAGAATAAAAATAATTAAAATGTCCATATTGCTTAAAGCAATCTAAATATTCAATGCAATCCCCATCAAAATCTCAATGACATTTTTCACAGAAATAGAACAAAGAATCCTAAAATTTATATGGAACAACAAAAGACCCCGAATAGCTAAATGAATTCTGAGAAAAAATAACAAAGCTAGATGTATCACACTCACTGAATTTAAATTATACTACAAAGCTATAGTAATCAAAACAGCATGGTACTGGCACAAAAACAAACACACAAATAAATGAAATGGAATTGAAAGCCCAGAAATAAAACCACACATCTATGGACAGCTAATCCTCGACAAAGGAGCCAAGAACATACAATGGAGAAAGGAAAGTCTCTTCAACAAATGGTGCTGGGAAAACTATACAGCCACATGCAAAAGAGTGAAAGTAGACCATTATCGTACACCACACACAAAAATTAACTCAAAATGGATTAAAGACTTGAATGTAAAGCCTGAAACCATTAAACTCCCAGAAGAAAACACAGGCAGTATACTCTTTAAGACCTGTCTTATCAGTATCTTTTTGAATATGTCTCTTCAGGCAACAGAAACAAAAGAAAAAATAAACAAAGGGGATTACATCAAACTAAAAAGCTTCTGCACAGCAAACGAAACCATCAACAAAATGGAAAAACAACCTACCAATTGGGAAAAGATATTTGCAAATCATATATCCAATAAGGGTTATATCCAAAATATATGAAGAACTCATACAACTTAACAACAACAAAAACAGCCCAATGAAAAAACGGGCAGAGGGTCTGAACAGACATTTTTCTAAAGTAGATTACAGATGGCCAAGAGGCACATGAAAAGATGTTCAACATCACTAATTATTAGGGAAATACAAATCAAAACCCCAATGAGATATCACCTCATACCCACCAGAATGGCTATTTTTAAAAAGATAAATAACTAGTGTTGGAGAGGATGTGGAGAAAACAGAACGCTTGTACATTGCTGGTGGGAATATAAATGGCATAGCCACTATGTTAGACAGTATGGAGATTTCTCAAAAAATTAAGAATAGAACTACCATATGATCCAGTTATTCCACTTCTGGATGTTTATTCAAAGAACAAGAAAACACTAATTTGAAAAGATATATGCACCCCTATCTTCACTGCAGCATTATCACAATCGCCAAGACTAGGAAACAACCTAAGTGCCCATTGACCTTAAGGGTATTATGCTAAGTGGAATAAGTCTGACAGAGAAAGACAAATACCATATGATCTCATTCATATGTGGAAGATAAACAATGAGACAAACAAATACATAGATACAGAGAACAGATTGGCAGTTACCAGAGGGGAAGGGAGGTAGGGGGAGGGAGGAAAGGGTAAAGCGGCACATTGGTATGGTGATGGAGGACAAGTAGATTTTTGGTGGTGAACATGATGCAGTCTATGCAGAAGTCGAAATATAATGATGTATATCTGAAATTTATACAATGTTATAAATCAATGCTACTTCACAATAGAGTACTTTTACAGTGGAGAAGCCTGACAAATATTACTTCAGCCATGTGATCAAGGTCAACATTAATAATCACAAATCATATTGATAGTATGTACCCTTGATATTACGTGATGATAGTGGCAACTTACCTCTGTAATCTTTCTCCCAAGAGAGCACAACTCCAGTCTGACTATGAGAAAGACATCAGACATCCTAATAGAGGGACATTCTTCAAAATATCTGACCAGTAGTCCACAAACTTTCAAAATGTATCATCAAAAACAAGGAAAGTCTGAGAATCTATCACAGCTTATAGCAGCCTAAGGATAACTTGATGACTAAATGTAATGTGGTATTCTGGATGGGATCCTGAAATAGAAAAAGAACATTAGGGAAAAAAACAGGAAATCTGAATAAAATACAGACTTTACTTAATAAAAATGTATCATGATTGGTTCATTAACTGTGACAAATGTACCATTCTAATGTAAGATGATAATGATAGGTGAAACTGTGGGGTATATAGTAATTCTTTGTATCATCTTCACATTTTTTAATAAATATAAAACTGTTTTAAAAGTAAAGTTTATTTAAAAGTTAATCACACCATTATTTATAATGGCAAAAATAGATAAGTAAAAGGAGTAACCCAAATGTATAAAAATCAAGACATGGTAAAATAAATGCTAGAATATCCATATGATGGAATACAATGTAACCATTAAAAAGCATGCCAGAGTAGAAGCTTTATTAATTTAGGAAAACAACATATTGCTACATGCAAATTTTGGGTTACAAAAGAGTGTTTATAGTCTGATGCTTTTTTAAGCGAAAAAGGTATGTCTATATAAGCAAAGGAAAACATGATTAAAGACAACGTAATAATTGTATACAGTTATTATTTTAGGACATTGAGATGATGGGCATTATTTTCCTTGTGTGCTTTTCTGTGTTTTCCAAATTATCTTCACTGAACATATATTACATTTGGAACATTTTTTAAATGTTTCAAAAATATATCAAAATCAGTTTGGAAAAAAAATAAGTTTCAACCTCTTATTCAGACCATACATAAAAAATAAACTCAAAATGGATCACAGACCATAAAAGCAAGCTGTAAATCTTCTAGAAGAAAATATAGAAAAAAACTTCAACACTTTGGATTAGGAAAAGGACAAAGAAAGTACTAACCACAAAACAAAATAATAATAATAAGCTGGACTTAAGCGAAATTTTAAAACATCTGTTATTTGAAAGATATTGTTAGGAAAATGAAAGAGACAAGCTAGAGATTGGGGGGGATATGTGCACTACATATCTGACAAAGGACTATATCCAAATATATAAATAACTTATAAAACTCAATAAGAAGAGGACAAACAACCCAATTAAAAAGAGACACCTCATCTAAGCAAATACATGAATGACCAATTAGTACATGAAAATATGTTGAGAATCTATTAATCCATGGAATATCAACTTAAAACCACAATGAGGTACCACTAAACACCCCCGGAATGGATAAAATGAAAAAAAATAAACTGGCAATACCAAGTGTTTGCAAGGATATAGAGCAACTGGAACTCTCATTCAAAGCTCAGGAGAGTATGCAATGGTACAATCACTTTGGAAAATAGCTTTGGCATTTGTTATAAGTTAAACATGCACTTATCCTATGACCTGACAATTCTACTTTTAGATATCTACCCCCTAAAATGCAAACATATGTCCACAGAAAGACTTTTAAAAGAAATGTTTACAGCAACTTTAATCATAGTAGTCAAAATCTGAAACAACCAAATGTTCATCAACAGGAAAATAGAAAAATTGTGGCTTAGCCATATAATGATATACTATTCAGCAATAAAAAGGAATGAGCTACCAATACAAACAACAGCATGGATAATGCTCAAAAACAGTATGCTGAGTGAAAGAAGACAGAGACCAGAGTATACACTATACGAGTCCCACTTATATTGCGGTCTAGAAGAGGTAAAACTAATCTAGATAAACTGTTGCCTGGGGCAGGGGTGGGGGATTGATTGCAAGGAATCTTGAGGGAAGTTTTAGAAGCGATGCGAATATTCTATATTATGACTGGGATGGTAGTTACATGGGTGAATACATTTGTCAGAGCACATTAAACAGTATCTTTAAAATGGGTGCCTTTTATTGTATGTAAATTCTATCTCCATAAAGTTGATATTTAAAGTAATAGATGTGAATATACTACATCTTTTCTTGGAATTATGAAATCTAATTATTAAATTCAGGGAGACAGTGTTATTATTCAATCCACCGTTTCTAGTGGATAGAAATAGCTTCCCAGGAACACCTAATTATTGTGTGGTGACAGTCATTAAAATTAGAAACAAGGGAAAAACCATTTTAAAGACAAAGATGGTAGATTTAATTACTGTACAGTCCTTTGGTACTGTAGCAAATGGGTCAAAAATCCATGGCTACAATAGCTATCTCTGGAAAAGAACAAATGAAGGAAGGAGCAATCTATTAGCCAGAAGGTCTCTACACTGCCCTTTACCAACAGAGATCCTGCACTGACCTGGCTACACGCCCATTTAATAATCCTACAACTCAATAGGGAAGCTACAGCACAGGCAGCATGCGTACGAAGGGACTGCTGAGTCATTCTCTGGGCAGAAAGCACAAGACGATTGATTTTTACATTCAGATTTTCACTCTGGTTAGGCTCAAGATCCTACAAACCTTATTTTGGTCAAATCTCATTATACAAGATATTCTTGCATGATTTTCGCATTAAAACAATGAAAAACAATTCTCAGCATTGGAATTTGCCCATGGGCATCTGATCGATTATGTTGATCTCTATTGTACTTATATTAAAGATAAGGTCCTGAAAAAAAATTTTAGGCTGTGAATATTAAATTCTGCCCAACTAGAAATAAGGCTAGAATAGGGGAACTCAAAAAAAGGTCAACTTGGTTATTATTCTCATGCAAGTGTTGCATTGTACAATAGCCTGGATGTGTTTCAAAGGGACTGTCTGCAGCTGACAATTCAGAAAAGCAACAACAGCAGAAAAACCACCAACAAAACAGACTCCAAAACCAGCTGCGAATGATCTTTGTTTGCCCTTGAACAACTTTAGCTTTTAGTTCCTAGTTTTGATAAACATACAGCTACATTACAAGCGTTGTCCAATTTCATTTCCTGCACATTCAATTTTCTTTTGCATTTACATACTGTATGCTAAACATACCTACAATATTTTGCACTTTCAAAACCTTTAAATAAACTGAAAGGAGCAAGTCTGTTTCAGGGAAATAAGAAGAATGAGATTTCAGAGAGAGGGGTACAGAGGAAGGAGGGGGAAAGGCTGCATCATATTCATAAAGATGAAAAAAGAAGTCCACATCCTTAGGATGCCAAGTGGTGCAGTGCAGGCTGTGTCAAAATAAAAGCTCTCACAGCAAAGATCACTGTCGGATCCATTTATCCACCCCCAAAACCAACAACAACAAAAGAATTGTTGAAACAGCGTGTAACATATTAATATAATGACTTACATGAAACTAATTACAAATTTCCATTAAGAAAAAATATTTCCCTTCTTTAAGTTTTCTCCTTTCAGCAGACAAATGAATGAATAAAAAAGTCAAAAGCAAGGTTTCAGCTCATGCTAAAACATAAAGAGAAATCAAATGAATCATTTTGCTTAGCTTGCCTATTCCCCATCCTAACCTCTTCTAATCCCAGCAGATGGATTTATTTTTCTTCCCAAAACAATTCAGTCCTACCTCAGCACTTGAGCTCCTATTTGGAAAGATCTCTGACTCAGCTTCAGGTCACTGTGGCTGCTGCCTTTCTCTATGCCTAGTGAGCTTGGCTCTCAGTCCTTTGTGCCTCTGCCTTTCAAGGGCTGCATTTCTGCATCTCTGGGCTGGATTTTTATCCTCTGCAGCTCAGCCTCTCAATGACTGACAGCTAATCTCAGTGGATTCTAATTCTAGCTGACTTTAAGAGTTCTTGGGATCCTTTCCACCACTCCCTTTCTTCTCCCTAAGATTCTCAGATAATGTTTGGGGCAGGCCCTGGGAATCTATATATGTGTAAAGCTTTCCAAATGATTATGATTTGCATAAGTGTTTTGGAAATACTGTGTCTAAGTAGCTCAGCTGTCTTTAGCTGGGTCTCTCATACCTACTTTCCAAGCAAGCTCTGCCCATTTACCTCTTTTCAATCTACCTAACGTGTACCTCTACGCCATTCGCCATTCATTTGGATCTTGTCTTGCCACTGGCTCTATACCTTCTGTATATAACTTTTTATTTTCTTCTATTTCTGCATGTTCTTTATACTTAGCCAATTTCCCATACTAACCCTATAGATTGCACTTATCATTAGGAAAAACTAAGTTAAAAACTAGATGAAATATACAACAAATTTTAATGTATACAGAGATTTTCGCCCATTTATCTTGTGTGTATTATATTTCTTCCCTAAGTGTATAAATCTAAGTAACTGAAACATTTATTTTTAAAGAACAGCATGGAACACAAGCAAGACATGCCTGTGTATATTACAGGTAATAAGGATGTCATCAGGGAACTAGTTCAATTTTGCATTCCTTAGCCAGGAGAAATGCATCCACCCAAACCTATGTGCTCCACAACCTCTTTCAACAGAGGCTACTGCTTCTGACCGAAATAGTTTGCCATAATGCTTGTTCTTCATTATTCCCCCAGCATAGTTCTGCAGTCTTCACTTTAAAATTTATTCCCAGGTCGGCCCCGTGGCCGAGTGGTTAAGTTCACACACTCCACTTCAGCAGCCCAGGGTTTCACTGGTTCGGATCCTGGGCGCGGACATGGCACCGCTCATCAGACCATGCTGAGGCGGCATCCCACATGCCACAACTAGAAGGACCCACAGCTAAAATATGCAACTATGTACTTGGGGGATTTGGGGAGAAAAAGCAGAAAAAAAAGAAGATTGACAACAGATCTTAGTTCAGGTGCCAATCTTTAAAAAAATAAATAAAATAAAATGTATTCCCTTGTGAAGTTTTAGCCGTATTTTAAAATCACTTCCCTATTTCATATTATATTCATCTATCAGACTCTAAGATGCTCTTCCATCCTCTTTACTGACCTTAGCATCTCATGGTCCTCAGAGAAACCTATCCTTCTCTTACCTATGTCATCACAGATTCCAACAGGTATAACAATGACACCTTGTGTTCCGCCACATGCCTATTTGGGTGAGCAGTCTGGGATAGGTTGCCGAGAGACCAAAGAAAAGACCTGGAGACAGAGAACAAGACATATGGGTTTATTGGGAGTTACTTACAGGGAAGGTCCAGTGGCGGCCAGCTGGACAGCAGTGTACACCCGCTACTGCCCCCTGAGCGAAGCTTGCTTAAGTAGGCAGAGGAACAAAGGCTGCATGCTTGCCAAGGGGGATCATCCCTGTATCACCTGTATTCCAAGGACCAGAGACCCCTCACACCCCAGAGGGCCTCTGTGTTCCCTCAGACTGTGAGGGTCTTGGTGCTAACTCTCTCACGAGAAAGCAACTGGGTTGGCCAAGCCCAGGACTGTTATCATCGTGAATGCTGGCACGTAGCCCAGACAGGAGCCTCAAGGACACATGGCTTTTAAAGGGGCACACCAGCTAATGCCCCTACACCTTGGCTCCTCAACTACCACAATCTCATCTATTCCAATCAGTTGCCCAATAACACCACTATATAATTGCTCTCCTCATAATTGAATACTGCTCCACTTTGAAAATTATAAATATTGAAATACGCTTCTCCTATTATAAATTCCTGTCACACCTGTTCCATTCTCAAGAACAAATCTAATTGGCTTCCACTCTCATGATAATTTACAGTTAATTGACTCCTCCCACTTTTCATAATCAACCACTGAAATTCACCATCAAATGATTGCGATGACTTGGGACAACTGAAACTACCTTTTGCTTCTAATTATGATGCCAACGGGTGGAAATTTTCTTAAAGTAACATTTATAAAAAGGAAAAGAATTTAAAGCCTTTGGCCAAAATTTTCATGAAATTTTTTTCACTAGTAATTAAACTTTAGATTTTCCCCACCTCCTTTCAATCTTTCAGTTTTGTCTAATATTTCAGACACCAAATCCTTGGCCAACTTTGTGTTTTCTTGAGGTTTCTATTCTAAAATGGAGCCAGGTTCTAACATTGCTGTGTCAGTTATACAATGGACTTTTGAAGCCAAGTGTAACACTTTCAAAAAGTCAGCATGTCTTTATTCCTGGAAATGGGCACCAGTCCAGAAAAAAGTTCAGTGGAAAAACTCTCATCTTATTGCAGAGTATAACATGATGGGTTTTTGCTCATCTTAATTGTCGCTAGACATATTACTTTGAGAGGTGAATCCTAAAGCCCTCTAGGAAGGTCAGGAAAAAGCATATACTAGATCTGACTGAGCTTAAGTCCCATTTATGGCTCTTCCTTTCAATTGAGGTCTAGCATGGCCTGTCCTAACACCTAGGTGTTTTTACAATGAGCTTCTGGGATTCACGCTACAAAATGATTCTTATCTACCTACAGATTCGGTCATCCTTAAATCCATCTAGTCTAACTCTGACTGCTGATATCTGGGAAGCACATATGACTAAATGATAATTTTTGTGATTCACATCTTCACGTGTTTTATAGCCCTGTTTAAAAATGTTATTTCCACTTTAAGTACCAAGGCCTAAAGTGAAACTATGTTATATTTAACATACTTTTTAATGCATAATACTGTCTCATTCACATCTGGCCAGATGGGTAAATTTTCTAGGTACTGAAGATGACCCACTCAAGTGAAAAACCCTGTATTTATTTAAAAATCTTTTAGTATTTCTATAGTTATCCGTCTATATAACATTATAAAATATATTTTGCATGTCTTTGCCTTATACAAAAGTTATTACACATTATATCCAATTTTTCTTTTGGATAACTCAGGGTTATCATCATAAACATTCAGTATTGTACGCTACTATAACACACGACCATATTCTATGTCTGCTTTTTCACTGTACTATTTCTCTATAAGCTGTTAAAACTCACTACTCTCTTATTGCTCGTCTCTATCATATCTCTATATATTCTAAATTGGTTACTTCTAGTCTAGTAAGAAAAGAGATAATAGAGTTCACTTAAACTATGGTTTTGTTTTTTTAAAAGTAGGCATGAAATGATATCATGTGTGGAATTTGTTTTAAAATACTCCAGCAACACAAGCATGCCAACATAAAAAGGTAAATGAAACAACAATGGAAAAATGTTAATAACTATTGAGGCTGGGTGATGAGTACATGGGAGTTTGTTATATTATTCCATTTTGTATATCTTTGTAAATTTCTTTAATGAGAATGTTCTTAAAATCTTTAAAGAAAAATGCTAGCTAATAAATATGAAAGGAATAATGGAATTAGATAATCACCATTTTGCAACCATAATGTAATGACTAATTCAGGCAAGGATCATGCTAATGATCCTATAGGCATGCTAAAGCCATTGGGTGAAAGTGCTTTGGGGAACAAGATATTTACATGGTCTCAAAGTATCACCTCATAGTTTACTTATTAATTTCTAAGGGAAAGGTACCTTTACAGGGGATAAAGGTATCTTTAGAGGCAGACATTATCTAAGTGATCAATCAAATTCAGCATCATCAATAATTGGTCAAATTGTCACTATCTGTTTTCTGATATTATGCAAATACGTAATATCGTCCATGTAGTAATCTTACCAAAACTATTTAATCTGAATTTAATAATGAGGAAACAATCAGACAAATCCAGTTTGTACTATTTTTACAAAATAATTGGCTTTAAAAATGTTAATGTTTTGGTTCAATATTGAATCAGTCAAAAGCAATACCTATAAAGACAATTAGGATAATTAGGGACATTTGATTGTGGTTGGCATAGTAGATTATAGTTTGTACACATCGAAATTTCTTGGGTGTGGTAATAATTTTGTGGATATGTAGGAGAAAGTTCATGTTCTTTGGAGGTACATGATGCTAAAGTACTTAGGGCTAAAGTGTCATGATGTCACCAACTTACTTTGAAAGGGTTCCAAAAATGTGTGTGTGTGAGTGTGTGTGTGTGTGTGTGTGTCTGCCTGTCTGTCTCTATCTAAACAGAGAAAAAGAGAAAGCAAATGTGACAAAATGTTAATTGGTGAATCTAGATGAAAGGCATTATATGGGTACTCATTACTCCGTTCTTTCAACTTTTCTATAGGTTTGGAGTTTTTCAAATCAAAAGGTTGGGGAAATGTATAAAAAGAATAAATAGTCAAAAAATAAGTAGGTTTATGAGAACACAGTATTTCCTTTGAAAAGTAAAGTGTATGGAGGCCATTTCCTAGTTACTTATAATTCTATCCTTTAGATGTGAAATTGCCGAAAATAAGTTGGATATTACTATATTTAAAAATCATGACAAATTTTACTTAAGCTCCAGTAAAAAAAAAAAGTAATTTCCTTTAATATACATCATAAAATTAAAATTAACAAGTTATTAAAATCATAGTTTCAATAATGAAGTTAGTCAATTGCTTTGCTATCTGATATCCATGTTATGCTTTTATTATTTTTCTTAAACTATTGTGGCTAGAAGGACTATAGAAATTCATCACCTAATCCTGCTCTTTGATTTTGAAGATTAGGAAACAGAACATATGAGTTTATATGACTTCTGAGGAAATTAAATTCCATTTTTTCAGAGGGTGAAGAAAAAGAAATGGCAATGGCATTAGACATATTTGAGAATGTTTTTCCTTTGGGATTAAAAATAGTTACAGAGTAATGTGAGCATTAAGAAAAAGTGAAAGCTATTGAATTTTTACTAAAAGTAAGGAAACAATTGAAAAATTGTAG